CCCACGAAGATCTTCGGAATCTTGGATGTCCGTGGACAGATTGGTGGCAAGGCCATCATCTGGGAGATGGCAGTGAATGAAGGAGGACTGTACATGGAAGTGCCGCCGGGAACGTGTGGCCTGGCGATGTTGAGCTTCGTGAGGTACTTGAAGAGAAAAGGGATAATCCCTGTTTTGCTTCTGGGTGAGCACCAGGACCTCGGAGTCTTGCGGATGGTGGATCTGTTGTGCATGCTACCCATTTTGGGAGCAGAGAGGATCATGGAGGATGAAGCTGAGAGCTCGTATTATCCCCCATGGGTGTTGCGTTGGAAGAGAAGTGCAAAGGAAGGATCCTTGGTGTTTAAGGAACTGGTGGAGCGAGTGCGAGTGATTTCGATGTTGTCGTGTGATACACTTCGGATTCACGAGCAGGAGCTGAGGGAGAGACCAGTCCCCAAGTGGTCGTTTGTGGCCTACAGCCACTACAGATCCGTGATGGAGTCTGTTGCAGGATTCTTGGAGGACCTGGAGAAAAAGAAAGAGGAGATCACCGACACAGAGGGCGGCAAGCTGGAAGAAGGTGGTTGCGAGTGAGACTCGAAGCGGTGTTGTGTGGATCTGCAAGTGTAAGTGGCACTTGCCGACCGACTATGTGGTGAGGTTCAACTTGACGTTGCCTGCCGACATGTGGCAGCAAGCCTTTGGGATCATGGGTGAGAATGTTGGGAAACTCGAGAAGGAGGAAAAGGACCTGAAGCGGATCCTCAAGGCTGCAGCGGAACAGCAAGACCGAGAGTTCGAGGAAGCTGAGCGAAAGCGCAAGCGCATCGCCGACCTGTCAGCTGCTGAGGAAGAAGCTGCTAAGAGAGCAAAGCTGGAAGGCGAAGCGGTTCGCTCGCCTGTGTCAGTTGTACCATCTGAGTTGGATGCAGCAGCTATCGCGCAGATTGCTGAGCGTGTGAAGGCAAGCCTTAGTGTTGCCGATTTGGAGCTGATGTTGGAAGAGAAGAAGAGAAAGGTTGGAGACCAGCCAACTGAGAGGCCTGCGGAGACGCCAGCTGAGCCTAGCCGATCTTCGCAGGATGTGGTGATGGAAACGAGGACGGCTGAGTTGGCGGAGATGAAGGAAGCCGCCAAGGAGCGCCGCGCCAAGTTGATGGAGTCAACTGGAGCTGGCGAGAAGAAGGGCGAAGAGGATGAAGAATGAACTGAGATGCTAAGTGATCTCAGTGGTTGGGTGGGTGAGTGAAACCCGCAGCCATTTTTTGGAAGCCATGGCCGCGTTGCCGCCATGGAGCACCCGCGATTTTTCTGGTTAGTGTGAGCCCTTGTTTCAGTGCATGAGAAGTTTGCAAAGAGGAGGCAAAATGATGATGAAACTCAACGAGGGACTCTATAGCCCCTTCTGCAAGGCGTCTGATTGCCACCTCTGAAGACGTTTTTGGCTGATGGTACGCTGGAAGAAGCGAAACTATGAAGCCAATCTTTTCTTGAAGGATCAGCTAGCCGATGCTAGTTGGTGAGTTTGGTGACCTGGAAGATGCGAGACTGAGGAGGAGTACCACGACAAGGTCGAGTGCTGAGTTGGAAACATCTGAAGCTTGCATTAATTCGTTTTCACGTGTTTGTCACCACGAACTCTTGGATTCGTTCCAAGACAACCCTGCCCCAGTGCAGGTGGATGCAAGTTTAATTAGTTTTTCACGTGTTTGGACAACGAACTCTTGGGTTACCAGTGATGTGGACCCAGGACAACCTGCCTGATGGTGGGATCTTGCATGAGTTTTAAGTTTGATGTCAGAGATCGACTGGTGTGTTGTTTGTTTCGTTTGGTGGCGAGTACGCACCAAGGGAATGTGGCCAGGGCATCCCCTTAGTGTTGAAGTGCCGAGCTGGGCTTGGACTTCAGATCTTTGACATGAACCCTCAGCAAAATGCGGGGGGTGGAAGATTGTGGCTGATCATTGATGTTTTTGTCATGTTTTGGATCAGCTTGTATAGGTTTGTTTTGCTTCGGAGTGATTGGGAATCCGTGTGATCCCATCCTCGATGGTTTATGCCTCGTTGATTTCCAAGGAAATCATACGAGTGTGTTTTTGCCCAATACGCTATTTAAAGTGAGTGTGCAGTGTGTAGGAACTTCGTTCTGAAGCTGAGTTTAAGCTCACAATAGAGAATTCGTTTAGTTTGTGCACTTCGTGACTTTTGGCTCAAGTGGCTCTGACTGTGAAAAAGAGAGAGCTGTCCGCACTTGTGTGAGAGGTCAGGGTTCGTGCTTTCAAGGGAAAAGGTACCAGAGGGACCTTCGTTTTTTCACGATCCTTGATGACTCTCTTTTCATTCCGCGTGCGCACATGCAGAACAACACTGCAACGTTCTAGAAACGGGGTTGCTGCGGTAAAGAGTGCACAAGGCACAATTTCGTCATGATGCAACTGCCCACAACCAACGCTGCACGCAACGCAAGCGAGAACGTTCAAAACGCGTATTGGGCTTGTTTCTTCCCGCCCGCTTTGGTGACGCACTGCCCTTATTAGGTCCGACAACGGCTTGCGCATCTGTGTTCTTGCTCTGGTGGCATGGTCTTGCTTGCCAGCCGAAGAACAGACTTATTCACACCCCTGGCGTACCCATAACCGCATTAGATTTGTAGCCTCTGGCCGATAGAGCAAGTAGGTAAGGGAAGTCGGCAAAGCAAGTGTTCTTGCCTTGCTGGCTTTGCACCAAGTTGTCTTGCAAAACGGTCTCTTTGCGGTTGCTTCTTTGTGACTCACGACTTTGCGCTTGCTGGCGTGTGCAGTTTTAACAGTTGTTGTCTGTTTCACTTTGAATAGAAAGTCACACAAATCGACCCACTGTGCGACTGATGAGTAAAAGGGCCATTAAAAAAAATGCATTGTGTGCAGTGTGTATCGAATGTCGTGTGGTGTGAAGTGTACAGTGTTGTGCAGTGTGGTGTGGTGTCTAGTGTGCAGTGCAGTGTGGAGTGTGTGGTGTTCAGTGTAGTGTGTAGTGTGTAGTGTAGTGTGCAGTGTGTTGTAAAGAATGGAATGTGCAGTGCGCTTGGGAAGTGCGGCCATTTAGCGTTTTAAAGGCGTTTTTGGACCATGGTCGCATCACGTTGATAAATTCAGAGCTTTGGTGAAGGCTTGGACATTGTTGCGGTTGCGATGCAAGAAGATATGTTTGGTGACTTGCTTGCGTACATAGGCAATGGCTTTGAACTTCTGAGGCATGTGCGTGTTTTCTTTGCAAAGTCAAGCTGAAGCAATGTCACTGTCGTGCCATGTTGATGGCGAGAACGTTTCACAGTGTGTGTGTGTGTGTGTGTGTGTGTGTGTATGTGTGTCTGTGTGTGTGTGTGTGTTGTGTGTGTGTGTGTGTGCAGTGTGTAGTGTGTTGTGTGTGGTGTCGAGTGTGCAGTGTCTGTGCAGTGTGCAGTGTGCAGTGTGCAATGTGCAATGTGTGGTGTGTGGTGTGTGGTGTGTGCTGTGTGTGCCATTGTCAGCACTTCAGGTAGTTGCAAGACATGGCTTTCCCATGTTTTCCATTGTCTGACGTTTTGCACGGTTGATTATATGCTTGGCCCAAGTCCAAATCTGCTATCCAATGTTCAGAAGCTTGTCAAGCCCCATCGCCAGCGCAGCAAACAAGCATATCCCAGTGAGATCAGTCTTGTCGCGACACCCATACACAACTCAGGCTTGGTTGCCTAGCTCTCACCATTTCGCCAAGATGTATGGCAATCACGATTTGCTGAGGGCTTATTGTCGGTGAACACGCAATGGTGGTGTTTTGTGCATTCACATTCTGCATGTGCTGCTGCAAATGTGAACAAGAATGATTTGTATCATTTGAAAACCATCCCCGGGACCGGTAGAATGCGTGCAGATAACTGTTGTGGACATGCCGAACGCATTAATTATCGGTTTGTCGAAAGCCTTGAACTCTTTGCGATTTGCTTGCGGTCTGAGGGGTTCAACAGCATGTTGCAACAGATGCTTACACGGTGTTAGCGATTGCAAATAGCTCTGTTGCTCGAAAGTGTATTACTGCTTCACGACGGGCTGTTTCTGTTGCTTGGAGCACTCATGTGCGCCTTGCTGTTGTTACTGTTCGACAGCTGGAAGCTGAGTTGCAAAAAGGTGAATGCAAGGTTAGGTTCCATCACATCGTCAACATGTCTGCAAATGGGTAACAATGGTGGTTGCATGTATGTCGGGGAGCACCTTCTTGCCGTGCACCAACCACTTGAAGTGCTGTCGTCGGGCTCTGATCGATATGGTGTGTAGTTTGGGGGAGGTGAGGCGTTTGCATTGACCGTGCTAAGGTCAACGGTTGTTGCGATATTCTGTTTGTTCTTACACACTAGCTACTTGTTCCATGCTAGGGCTGGGCGTCCTTTGTGACGTCGCTTCAGCCTGCTTGCTTAAATCCTGTTGGAAGCCCAGGTTTCACAATCCTCATCTTCTTCATGCGGTCCTGTCCAGGCGCCTTTCATTGACACGCCCCAGTCTCAGCCACGCAGAACTGCTTTTTGAGACAGCGCATGGTGTGACTGTGGGCAGCTCCGCTAGAACGTGTAGAAGTGTAAGAAGGGATCCACAAGTGGTCAAGGATCAACATCATTGCTTGCTCCAATGAATAGCTCTAGAGTATCGGGTCAGCGTCAGCAAGCTCATGGCTTTCACAGAGCCGGACATCAAAAAGTGTCAAAGGCATTGTGCATCGTGCACGATTCGTGCACATTTAGTTTCGAGCTTGGAGGAAGTTGAGCAAAAGGACCGGCGGATAAAGTTGTACAATTTGAGCAGCTCTTTCGCCCTCTGTTGACGAGAGAGGGTCATTCAGTGTGAAGGGTAGAGCTCTGTTTCGAGATTTTGAGAAAAGTCACTGTGCTGTCATGTGTTACAGCTGAGGATCTTGGAGCCATTGCGACTCCTTTTTATGATGCAACCCGAAGTCTGGTCCCCCAGGACTTGGGATGCATGTATCCCTCCGAGTATGCTTGGGTCTCCTTAAATGCGTTGCCGGTGATGTTTGAGGCCCATCACCATGTATGAAGTGGCGTCCGAAGGACCCGCAAAAGGCATGACACCCACAAGGTGGCACTGCAGCTTTGGTTGCATCAGGCACCCTGCGGTGCGGGAATTCGTTTCAAACTCGGGGTGACCCGTTGCCGGCGCAGAAGAGAGGGGGCCGTGACTCCAGGCCGCCGCCGCCGCCGGGCATAGCGCCCACGTGGCCGCCATTGGCTTCAGATGTTCTCGCTGACACTTACTGGGATGGTATTGTTCCTGGGAGACTTGTGAGGAGTCTTCGAAAAGTTCCCGGAGTGTGCCTGGCCGCTGCTGTCTGGATGCTTCGGCCTCTTGTCCCTTGAGTGCAACTTCGACTCCTTCACACCGGTGAAGCTCCTGCTGTGTGACAAGAGACAATCTTCTTCCGTCCGACCTCAGCATCTTCCATCCAACCTCAGCCAAGCAGGAGCAGGCCTTGAATGGAGTGTCATCCGATCCCTCCGCCACGCTCACCCGCGTGTCCATATGATATGCGAGATGCTGACTGCATCATCTAGCAATGTTTCGATGGCCTTGTCTTCACAAGCAAGTGCGCCTTCTTGGTAATCAAGTTGGCACTCTCAGCATGTGGTGTCGGCTCGTGAGTCTTTTTTGTGTCTCTGCCTGGGCACTGATGTGGCCAAGGAGTTTACCGCGCAGCTTGCGTACGCGACGGGCGGCTGACATCGGATGCCCGTCTCGTTTGTAAGTTGCCGGTTGGTGGGCACCTGTTGGGACGTTTCTTCCGGGAAAACTGGTGAGGAGTCTTCGAAGAGTTCCCGGAGTGTGCCTGGCCGGCCTGGCCGGCTCTGTTTTCTGAATGCTTCGGCCTCTTGTCCCGAGCAATCCCCTTGAAGTACTTTCGACGGGTTCGAGCTGGTGAGGCGTGAGGCTCCTGCTGTGTGACAAAAGCAAGACTCTGCATCCGACGTCAGCAAAGGAGCAGGAGCCTTGAGGGACCGTCATCCGGTGTCTCCAGCACTCTCACCATGTGCTGTCAGCTCGTGAATCTGCTTTCCACTGGCTCTGTGCCGGGTTCCGAGGTCCATGAAGCTTAGCGAGTGGTTGCCGGGCAAAGGCCCTGGGCCCCAGAAGTTAGCTGCAACTAGGCCCTGGAGCCAGATCCTGTGGCAGGCATCACGATGTTGAAGGAGTTGCCGTAGCAAACAGGTGCTTCTTGGAATCCACGGTTCCAGGCGATGGCGTGGGTCGGTGACATGTCTCGCGGACAGACAATGTGAGCGATCTGAAATCCTGGGCAAGGGGTAAGACCCAGTTGCAGCCATCTTTCATCCCTGTGGGACTCGGCTATTCGTGCCGTGCTCCTCGTGTTTGCTGGCGGCCTGGGTAGACAAAGGTTGACTTCATATCAGCTCCATCGTCCACAGGGCTTTATACCAATTCCTGGATCAGTGGAGACTTTCGGCCTGATCAGTTGCCAGGTTGAAATTTTGCAAATGATGTGTAGCTCGGAACCAGGAACGCCACGAAGGCAGGTCTAGTGCAAAACTGTACGCGAGTTAGGGTGCTGATGCGGCTTCCGAGTGTACCGTGCAGCTCGCGTATTCAAAGGGGGCCTGCCATGGATACGAGGATCAGTGGCTCTCAACGCGATCAGTGACGAGGTTGGAGTTAGTCAAAAGGATGTGTAACAAAGCCGGCAAGGCAGTGCCAGGTTGCCCAAAAACGAAGCCAGCAGGGCGGCGCCCGTACGTAGCTGTGCGCGACTTGGGGTCCTGATGTGGCTCCGCAGTTTACCGTGCAGCTCGTGCAGGCAACTGCGGGCTGACATGGATACATGAGGAGCACTAGCCTTACCGGCACACGCACGTCACTCGCAACATCGCGAGGGCTGCAGCACCTGCCTGCCGGCCGCTGCAGGCGAGTTGGAGTTCCCCTGATCTTGAGATCCTGCCGATGCCGGAGGGTTCTGCCGATTACGACACTCACGGGTCGAAATGTCGGGCCCTGCTTGAGATTTGAAAATGTTGGCCGCTTTGAGTTCTCAAGGGGGATGAAAGGGATCCCTGGGCTGGGCAGCTTTTTTAGGGCGCGGCCTGCAAACAAAGGACTCCGAGCCGGAGACGGTGTCTTCAGGAGGCCTCCGGACGCCCCGAGAGTTCGGTTGTGTCTCAAATCCGGTTTTCGCCGGGAAAACTTGCTTGGAAAGAGGAGGCTTGTAGCCAACAGGGCCCAGCATTGCCCTGCCTCCCTGAGCTCGACCTCAGCCAAGTACCGTCAGACGAGACCTCTCCCGGAGCTTCGCATGTGACGTTTGTGAGATCATGCCCCGATGGCTCTCCCAAAGCAGGGCAAAGACATTGGGCTCGGCTAGACTGTAGCAAAAGCCCGAAGGATGGCTCAGCCTGACAGGACGGGCTACTGTATAGTATAATTCCCGAAAAAGGCCCTTTTATAGGGTTGACTATGGGGATTCGAGGGCCCAACAGCCCATCCTGCTAGCTGAGAATCCAGGCTAGGCACAGAGAGGCTGCGCTCCGTGCTTCTCTGGACTTCCATTTCTGTGCCCTGCCGCGCCTTGGAGAGTTGCCTTTGGCCTGAGCTTACTCCACACTGCTTGCCGCCGGTGTGCGCGGAGCTGATGTTAGCAGCAAGAGCCCCCCCAGAATGATAGAGAATGTGTAGGATGTGGATTCAATTCTGCATGTTCTGGGCTCATTCTCCGCTGTTTGACTGTTGACGCAGTTGCCTCGCTCTTGCCCTCATGCCGGCGGCCCTGCCTGGCTGCTTTCTTCATTCCAGCAGACCTTCCTACTTGCTGCAGTGCGGGTTTTATATGGGTGCTTGGTGCTTCCGACAGCCCGGCGCAGCCGGATCTACTGTCTGCTGCCTGTGCCAAGCTGGATCCACTGAACCACCCCAGGGTTTCAGAAGCCAGTTGCCGCAGCGGGATCAACGGGATACATGTGACACGGGACCTCCCTCGGTGCCACTAACTTGTCCTTGCATTCCTTGGCTCTTCGAGCCGGTCCCTGTGGTCCAACCAGGCAGCAGAAGCAACAAAGTAACGCTGACTCTCACAAAGAACTCTTAAAACTGGGGCCTTGGGGAGTGCGGAATGCTGCGCTGCTTGTGCTGAAACATGTTGAAGAACAGCTGAAGCATGTGAAGCCCCCGTGGTGGCAACGCTGTGGCACAGGTATGTTAGCCACCTGCATGCCCCTTCTGCCTGTTTCTGCTCATCTGAAAGCGAGCTTTGTCACAACCTTTCATAGTACAGGCGCTTGTGCCAGGTCCGTGTCCCATTCTGCCTGTTGCAGGCAGTTTTGAAAGGCAGGAGAAGTGAGGAACACTGCCATGCATGTTTCAGTTGTTTTAGGGGATGTGGACTTGCCTAGGCCGCATTCCACTTGCGCAGGCTATCTAGTGTCCCTGCCTGCCGGGACGCTTAGCGGCGACCCAGCGTATCAGAGAGCCTTAACTTGAGAATAAGCGAAACCTGAACGCGACGATGTGGCCCCGATCATGGCTGGTGGTGAGCGGAGGCAGGGCAGAGTGGAGGTGTCACGCGTGTGGCCGCCCCACCTGCCTACGGTTGAGGAAAGTCGCTGCTCGGAGGCTTCACGTTCTCTCTTTGCGCCGGCGCGGACATCAGGAAAGGCATCCAATGACGCCCCTAAATTCTATGAGCAATCTCTTGCAACAGATGGCCAAACTCGAAGCAAGCTTTTCTGTTCAGGTTTTGCTGCAGATTCTTGGCTGCTGAACTTTTTAGGAAACGTGTTGCCGGGCAATGCCCCTGTGGTCCGCGCTGACACTGAGGGGCCCATGAAACCCCGTGAGCGCAGGCTTTGCATCTTCTTGCAGCTTGGCAGTCGGACGACCTATCAGAAGTAGGCGTGAGTTCCGTGCGGCCGAAGGGCTCGCAAGCCCAAAAAGTCGGCTGCAGCTTTCTTTCCGTGCGATCTGTTCCTCGGTGGCCTGCGCCGCAGTACGCGTCGGAAATACTTGATCTTGCCTTGAGATTCAGGAACCCTGAACCCTAAGCCCCAAACCCTAAACCCTAAACCCTAAACAGCCGATGCCGGAAGGTTTCACGCTGAGATGTCGCACTCCACCTCCATGGCTTGCTCCAACGAGGAGCAGGGATCTCAACAGGAAGCCATAGCAGTAAACCCTCAAAAGTTGGAGCATCATGACC